AATCTTGTCAATTCGCTGTGCCGCTGCCTAGGAAAATCTCTGCCAGTGCTGCAACCGCTCGCGTTTGGCCGGTTTTCCCCAAGGCCATATGGTCCCAACGCCTCTCCCCCACTCACCATGAAAGCTTAAGTTGTAATTTGGTAAAAATGAGAAGCCCGCATCCCCCTGCTCACGGCTGCTGTGTGGGTTTTTCCAAGAGCTGTAATGAGGAATGTTAAACAAACACCTTTAATTAAAGGAATGTTTGTTTAATGTAATTAAATGCCTAAAGAACACCGCACTGTTGCAACCCCAGATAGTTTTGCAGTGTGTGCTGTGCCTCGCGATACTCTAGTGCGAGGGAAATAATGCAAGCAAATGACATAACCTGCCAGTAAACATCCAAATATTAAGCAGCATCCAAGCCATGCTACCCATATACCAAATGCCTACGTGTCAAGAGGAACCCGCACTCATCTGTCAGCCGAAACAAGCCAAACTTGAGAATGTGAGTTACAAAAAACCCTGAAAAACAGAAAGGAGTAGAACCCCAGCCCCAAACCCACATGAGTTTTCAGTCCCTTTTACTCTCTTTACTACCTTTCTATCCGAACAGAAAAGATGAGTCCTTTGAGGAACGAGAGTGTCGACACCGCTCCCAGAGCGGCACAGAGCTTGTTTTTAATGTGATAAAAGTATTCCCCTTCCTTTCCAGCCGCCTCCGAGGCGATCCAGCGCGCTGCCAGCCCCGAGTGAAACCCAAGTCTCCCGCCTGGCAGGGTGGAGCATTCCCTGGGGCTGCGGCTCCGCTCCGTTTTTCGCCGAACCACCGCAACTCGCTCGAAGTTTTGGGGTGTTTATTTCGTAAAGACAAAAGGAAGAGAAGCGGCGGGACCCACCGGGGAGGGGTGGGGGAAGCAGGGGGCGGGCGCGATAGCGGCTCCCGAGACGTTTACCGCGACTTCGAGTCCCGGAGCCACCCGGGCGGCGCGGTGCCCTTCCCTTCCCCGCCTCACGCCCCTGCACCTCCCTAGGCCGCTTCTCGCTCCCCAGCGCGGCATCCCCCGACCCCCCGCCCGCCCCGCAGGTGGAGCGCGCCCGCCGCGGCCCCGGCAGTGCGGGCGGGAGGGAGGGAGGGAAGGAGGGGAAGGCGGGCGGGAGCCGGACCCGCCGCGGCGGCGCCGCCGCTCGGCCCCCGCGCAGCCCGGGCGGCGCCGCTCCGAGCGACCCGCGCTGTGCCCGGCCCGGCCGCCGGGCGCAAGGTCACCGCGGCGGCCGCCGGCCCAGGCACCGGCCGCGGCTGGAAAGCCCCTACCTGGCAGCGCCGCCGCCACACTATGGCGGGCCGCGCCGGGCCACGCCGCCGCTCGGCACTTCCCACCTCCCGCCGCCGGCGGGAGCTGCGGCCGCCTCCCCGCCTCCCCCTCCCCGGCTCCCGGCGCCGGGCCCCGCTTACCGCGGCGCGGGGCGAAGCGGCGGCCGCCGAGGGGAGAGCCGTGTCCGCGCCGCTGCTGCTGCTGCTGCTGCTGCCGCCGCGGCTGCAACAAAGGACTTCCGCCCCGCCGCGCTGCCGCTGCCGCAGCGCCGGCTCCGCCGCGACCGCACGGGGCCGGACCCCTCCCCTCGGCGGCCGCGGCTCCCGGCGCCGCCGCTGCCAGCGCTGCTGCGCCTCCCGCCGCCAATGCCGGGCCCCGGCGGGCGGCTCCCTGCCGCGCTCCGCTCTCCTCCCATGCCGCCGGGGACGCGGCGCGGCGCGGGCTGGCGCTGCCGGCGCCCCCTCCCCGTGTGCCGCAAGCCCGGCCCCTGGCGGAGCCCCCCGGACCCGCGGCGGGCGCCCACCGGGACCCCGCGCCCGGGCTGTCCCGCCCCGCTGCTCTCCCAGCCCCGGGAATCCGCCCCTTCCCCGCGCACCCGGGCTCGCTCCACGGATCGGGGTGTCCCTGCTTTCCCCTCGGACCAGCGGCGACTGGTGCGGACGGGGAGGCTCCGGTCCACCGTGTGGGTGTCCGGCGCTGGGGGGTTGTACCCGCAGTCCCACGGCCCCCGCGTGGGACAGTTTAAAGGCGAGAAAACCGCTGCGAGCTGCGTGAGAAAGTATCTCCTCCTCGCTGCGATTTTCACACGTTCATACCACCGCCCGCCCTTCTGGAGCTTCACGGTGATGCAGGAGCACAGGGCTGGCAGCCACCGCCACGCTCTGTCACAGAGCCCGAGGACAGCGCTTTTTTTCATCTTCCCAGGAGCTGTCCCAGGCCCTCTTCCCACCAGTCTCTGGACCTCTTCTGTCTGACAGCATCCAGCTCCTCAGGAATTATCCCATGGGAGCAAGTGGGATTTCCGGCCCCTTTGCTACCTGTCACAGATCTGAGAGAAAACATAAGCCAGGGCAGGCTTTCCTCCCGGTCTTGCCACTTGACTTTTCCACCCCCAAAGTGACATTTGTTATTCAGCGCAAGCACTGGAACTGTTTAATCTGCACCGCTCTGTCATTCAGACAGTTTCTAGAGATACCTTTGTTTTTATGTTATTGCAACTAAGATCCCTCTTACCTTCAGACAAGCCAAAAAGGCAAACTTAATCACAGCTAAGTTAAAAGATTTTATTACAAATTTGAAAGTGACAAAAATAACAAAAAAAAAGCAACAAAATAAAATGCCATATTGTTAAAATGTACCAGCATCCATCCCTGCTTCATTGACCTCTAAGGTTTTCCTGAAGCATCCCTCCACTATTTAAGCAAACAGGACAAACCCAATTAACAAAATCCTAGTCGTTCCTCCTGAGTTTGTCAGGGGATTTTCTAACCGCTACAGAATAAAACAGGACCTTTCAAAATGTGTCTTTCAGAATGTGTCTCCAAAAAACCCCCCTTGTTTCCCTTTTCACTCTGCCACAGCCTTGCCTCAGGGGTATCATAGCAGTGCCTAGGGGAAAAAAATCCCTCTGTGGCTATAAGGCACAATCCCCACATAAGGTGGAGGGACCCCCATAGTACAACTACTCTGTAGGTTTTCTTGTTTCATAGGAAGTTAAATAAACGGCCTCCATAACCTCATACCGTCATGGTTTTCAAATCACATGGAAAAGTTGCTTTTCTCGTGGCTCAAGGGTCTTTTTCTCCCCATCTCTTTACACAACTCAGGGCAGCACAAGCCAAGAGTGCCCATGGGGCTTCTGCCACCTCCCGTAAGATGGGGCACAAGAGAGTCCCCCTTTCTCACCACCCCCGTTCTCTCACGGCCATCCTAACCATGCTTGCCTTTCCAGTTCACTTTTTTTATTTATTTATTATCTGCTGAGGTGTGTGATACAATCACCTGCGCTTTGTAGCAAAACACCAGATTTCATTCCTCACCATCGCTTCCATCAGTTTGGCTCCCGCTTCTCTAAAGCTCTTCAAAGTCCTCTTTGGACCAGAGTCAACCTAAATAACACGTAAATAATTAATCATTTAAATAAATAACGTGCCATCTGCAAATAGCGACTCACTCTGTACGTGGGTTAATAAATATGTTAAATAACCCAGAGCACGGTACAAAACCTTGAGCCATCTCCTGCCAACCCTTTGAGGGGAAGAAAAGTAGCTACTGATATGTACAGGAGGAGCAGGATTACAGCTTCATCATCTCTCAATCCTGCTGCTGCACAAACACAGGAGGGAAAGACTGTCCCTGAGTCCCACGAGCTCCTGGGAGAAAGAGAAGAAATAAAACATAGGGCAATGGAAAAGAGAAAGGTGTGCTGGCCGGTGGGATAAGCAGCAAACACTGCATGGATCAAAGTGCTTTGAAGCCTACACTTCGTTTTCTCTGAAGCCTGTCTCTATCCTCTGCTCAGGCTCAGGCCACTTGGAAGCAGTCTCATAGACTGCTGGACTGCTGGTCAGGGGCATTATTTGCCTTAAATATTCAATAATTGCAGTTATGGGAATGCAATAGGACAATGGACTAAAAAATATCAAATGCTGAGATAAAGCCAAGAGGGATAATCCAAGGTACTGAATGTCTTCTGCAGAAGCTCTGAGCCAGGACAGATGCCGTGGAAGAGGTGGGTGTGACAGATCTTAGAAACTTCACCAAAATCATGACAAAAGCACACAAATAGTGATTTTCACTGCCTTTTCCAGCTAAGAAACAACCTGTAGACATCAAATTAATCTGGTGGCAGCAGGAGGCTGGACAAACTGGAAGTTTAAACAGGTTCAGGAAGCAGTTTGGTAACATTCATTGTAAAGACACCTCAGAGGTTGTACAGAGCTGGGGCTCAGGGGGACCCTCAGGAGGGGCTGCTGGTGGTCGAGTGATCGGGGTGAGGGTGGCACTGCTGCCTGTGCCCCAACCTCTGCCAGGCATCTCACCTAGAGCCTAAAACAACCCCTGGTTTAACATCCGCGAGAGACGGGGGGAGGCCTGACAGGGAAATGGTGTGTCCACAGGATTCGTGGTGGTTAAAGCAGCGCCGAGGCCGCAGACACTGGTGAGGAAGCCAGATCGTATCTTCACATCCATTCTCACGAGCGGGTGGACCGGAGAAGGCTCCTTCCACAGTTGTTCTTTTCTGTTAAAAAAACAACAAAAATCCCCCATAAAACCAGCCCAACAACAACAAAAAAAATCCACTTTTATACCGACAGCCGGGGTGCTCAGCAGGCCATACTCTGCCACCGAGATGAAGAGTGCCCCCAGCCCAGGGTGAGCCCAGGGGAAAACACACACCCTCGCAAAAAAAAAGAAAAAAAAAATCCCCCCACGGGGGTGCCCACGATCCCTGCCTCCCTCCCTCCCTCCGGAGCTGCGGCCGCGCAGGGGCCGCGCCCACCGCCCGGCCGGGGCGCGCAGGGAGCGCGCAGGGCCCGCGCTCACTTTTTCCAGGAGAAGCCCATCCCAGCCCATCCCTGCCCAGCCCGCCCCGGCGGCGGCAGGAAGCGCGGGGGGGCAGCGCCCACCCCATCCGCCGGGCGGGCAGCGGGGGCGGGCGGCCTCGGCGCTTCCTGGCGGGTAAGCGGGGGCCGGGCCGGCACGGAGGGAGGGAGGGAGGGGATGGAGGGGAGGGCGCTGGTCCCGCTCCCCGGGGGCGGCTTCGCTCGCCGCCTCCCTCTTTGTGTGTGTCGTTCGCTTCCCCCCCCCAGCCCCCCCCCCAAATAATTTTCTGCTGAAACAATAGCAAATATCAGCGTTTATTTGCAAAGGGGCCGCTGGCGAGGCGGGGCGCGGGCGGCTCGGCCCCGCACAATGGGGGCTTTGTTGGGCGCACAGGGCTCCTCTGTGCGGGAGCCGCCGGGCTCGGCCCCGCCGCCAGCCCCGCGCCCCCGGTGCCCCCGCGGGGCAGTGGGAAGCACCATCGGATCAGCGGGAAAACGCGAGCCGGGTTTAAAGTTGGCGCTGGCACCCCATGGAGCGTAGTTAATCGGCGGGAGGAGCAGCTACGAGTGTAGCCGGGCAGATGGAAAAGTCCCCGAGAGGTTCTGGGCTCATTGAACGTGGTTTTGGGCACCAGCGGTGGTATCGGTAATAGAAACTATTGAATTGGGGTGCAGGGACCATCTGGAGGAGGGAAGAAGCTCCGTGACAGGCGCCCAACTCGTTTCAGTGGTGAGAAACCCACATTTGAGCCTCTGGATGCTGTGTGATTTCTTCATGAGATGAACATCTTGTTCTCTCTTGCTCCCAGGCACACCATGGATACCACCGGCCACAGCATCCTCCTCCTCCAGCAGCTGAACATGCAGCGGGAGTTTGGCTTTCTGTGTGACTGCACAGTTGCCATTGGAGATGTTTACTTCAAAGCCCACAGAGCGGTGCTCGCTGCTTTTTCAAACTATTTTAAGATGATATTTATTCATCAGACAAGGTAAGAACACACACTTCTATCCTCTCAGCGTTCTACTTTTTCTCCTTTCTGAAGGCATCAAAGTCTAAAAGAGTGTAAGTGGGGATGTTAGATGGCTTGAGATAATTTTCCTAACCCAGCACAGGCCTTGGCTCCCTAAACGTTCCCAGTCCAGGACATGCTGCCCTTTAAAACCAGTCTCTTAGTCAGCATATGGTAACATCAGGCCCTGCATTTTGGAGATGAGACATTTGTGTGACCAGATAAAATAAACATGTAAGTACCACTGTCTTCCTGCAGTGAGAACTTTGCAGATTTGGAATCCAGGGATAACCTGGTACCTCCTCTGCCCATGTCCACTACTTTGCATTAGGTTGTAGGCAAGCTGGCTGGGTGGGACTGTCCCTTCTGGCAGGATCCATGGGCTTGAAGCAATCGAGAAGCCGTAGACTTATCGCAGTTCTGCGTTTCAGACTCTTGCAGATAAGGGCCAAGACTGAGATCATCAGTTCATTTCAAGCTGTTGTTCAGGTGCTTCACCTGGCCAGGTCAGGAGTGGTTCTGCAGGTATAACAACACTTGTGCCAAGGTCTGGCCCCTGACCTGGAGCTTGGTGCTTGCAATGGATTAAACCCTTCTCTATTCTCCTTTTTGAGGGTCATGGCCTCCAGCACCTTTACAAAATAACCATTAGGATCAGCCGTGCTGCCCTGTGGCGGGAAGTGAGATGAGTTAAGTGTCTTGTTTGCTGACACTTAAGCGCAACGCTCATAAAGATTACACAGCAGCAACAGCTGAATTTATTACCTAAACACAGAGATATTCTTTGCCTGGTGTTACTGGAGTGGCACACCCTGGTGATGCTTGCATGGCATCGCTGCGGTGCCGCACAGCTGCGGTTGGCTCTGCACGCAAGTGACGGGGTGACCGGGAGCTGGCCCCTTGCACCATCCCCAGCTGTGGCTGTGCACATGGTCTTTAGAGTCACAGAGGCAGGCTTAGGCACTTTGCTGTGCAAAACAGGGCTTATGCACTTCTGCAGGGCTTGGCAGGGAGTGCTGCTCATAAACCGGGAGGCAGGCAGCAGCACACGTGCTCTGACAGCAAATGGGCAAGTAATGGATCAGGACTAGCTTGGATCCCTGTATGTACTCAATCATCTGTTTTGTTTCAGCGAATGCATAAAGATTCAGCCAACAGACATCCAGCCTGACATATTTAGCTACTTGTTACATATCATGTACACTGGGAAAGGGCCAAAGCAGACCGTCAGCCAGAGCCGACTGGAGGAGGGCATCCGCTTTCTCCACGCAGACCACCTCTCCCACATCGCCATCGAGATGAACCAAGCCTTCTCCCCAGAGCCAGTCCAGTCCTCCAACTTGTACGGGATCCAGATCTCGACGGCACACAAACTGGCAAAGGAGCGCCTGGGAGCGAAGGACAGCCTGCCCAAGGCGGGCGGCAGGTCTGCGGCGCAGGGCGATCACCCTCAGCTGCAGCTGTCCCTGGCCATCGGCCTGGACGACGTCCCCCTGGACCAGCAGGTCGCTCGCCCCTCCGCCCCGCCCGCCTCCCTCGCCAAGCCGGCAGAGGAGCGTCCAAAGCTCTCGGTCTCCATAAAGCAGGAGAGGTGCGACTCGGAGCCCGTGGTGTCCCAGAGCTGCACTCCTCCTTCCCCAGAGGTGGCCAGCCCCATCTTTGCCAAGGCCAGCCTGAAGGTGCACTTGTGTCACTACTGCGGGGAGCGCTTCGACTCCCGGGGCGGGCTGCGGCAGCACCTGCACACCCACGTCTCTGGCTCGCTGCCCTTCGGCGTGCCGGCCTCCATCCTGGAGAGCAGCGACCTGGGCGAGGTGCAGCCTCTGGCTGAGGACAGGGAGGCTGGGGATGACCACCGGCTCAGGGCCTTCCTCCTCAAGGAGGATGAGCATCAGCTGGAGCATCCAAGCTGCAGCGACCTGGAGCCTCTGCAGATTGGCCAGCTCTCCCTCATCTCCAAGGACCACGAACCGGTGGAGCTGAACTGTAACTTTTCTTTCTCAAGAAAGAGAAAAATCATCTGCACTGTCTGCGGCCGCACATTCTTCCGGAAGAGCCAGCTGCTGGAACACATGTACACGCACAGGGGGAAGCAGCACAAATACAACCGCTGCCAGAGGCTGGAGAGCCCCGCCACCCCCAGGTTTCACCCTTACTGTGACAGCGAGAGTGTGGGTAAGAGCTCCAGTTTGTCCCAAGACCACTTAGATGAATGTATACTGGAGTCAGATCTCGTCCAAGAAAGTGTTGATACGATCCTGGTAGAGTAGTTCTCCCCCTGTGTTGCCTTCAGATGCTGAAACTCTCTGGATGTTTTGGCATTTTCCACATAGGGAGTGGCTGCTCTCTGCAGCAGATTTTGTTCAACCACCATTCCCCTCACCCCCAAGATAACTGTGAAGGATTGTGTACTTTGATTTGTGTACTTGCTTTTTTACTTCTCTAACTTTTAAACTCTAGCTAATTCCCATCTAAGTCCTTCTTGGAAGCCTCTATGTAACTCGGTTACATTTTTCCTAAATATGAACTTATTCCTGCTCTGCTTTACTAGAGTTAAGACTGTATTGCTGGGTGTGAGGTTTAAACGTTGTCCAATACTCTGTGCGGTGCCTAGGACTGTTTGTATCCCATAGAATTGCTTTTCTGAAACCAGATGGGTGGAAATGTAGAGGGAAATGTGTATTGTGTTTCCCAAACAGTTTGTTTGTAATGAAAATAAATATCTCAAGGAGATGAATCCTGAAGTTTGCGTTGTATAACTGCAGTTAATAAGTCTTTGCATAAGTATGTGCAGGAGCCATAAGGCTGCTCTTTTCAAGGGAATTGGCAGTGTTGATGTAGGGGTGGCAACCTTCACTTTGACAAGCCCTGGAGTCCTCGTCAGTACAGTCTTCTAAATTTACTTTTAAACTCCAGGGATTTGCATGTGTTTTTCCTCCTCCCTACTCCTCCCTCGTTAACCACTACTGCATCAGCAGAGATGCCCCTCTAGGAGCATGTTTCATTATTGGGACTGCCTTCTCTGCAAGGAGGAAGGAAAGCTGCAAAGAAGCTGTCCTCTCTTCTTGGAGAGGAGTCATATAGTCACCTAAGTCTTTACAGGATTAAATACCACGCTCGTATTTTCTGAGTGAAGAAGATTTCTGATTCTGTAAACAGCTTGGAGCAAACACAGTCTTAAATATTACAATCTGTGTATTTGCTAAGAGCAAACATATAATGTGTTATTTCTTCTCTGCTTGCAGAACCACCATAAAATGTTAACATGCAAGTTTTTTGCCTTTCATGTAAACACAGAATGGTTCAAGTTAGAAGGGATTTTAACCATCACCTAATTTCAATCCCCTTGCCATGGGCAGGAACACCTTTTGCTGGACCAGGTTGTTCAAAGCCATATTCAGCATTTAATTTATCATTACTTCTTATCTGAAGGGTAATAACTTCAGATTTAAAGGGGTTTAAAATTGTATGTGTTCCTCTTGGATTCGTATTTTGTCCCTCTGTAGTTTTTTACCTGAAATATCCCAGTCTTCCTGCCAGATGGGCTCCAGCCCATCCCACAAAGATGCTCTTAATCACAAGGCCCCGAGGAGGCACACAAAGTTCTTAGAGCGCAAAGGTCTCTTCTGCAGCTCAGGGCAAAAGCCTCGTGAGCTGCTCCCATAATCTCATTACCCAGTTTTTGAGAAGCTGGAGGCTCCCTGCCAGTCCTGGTGGAGCCAAGTCATTGCCTTTGGAAAGGGGGAGCCCGAACAATGGTGAGAACAGTTTACTGTCAGAATGCCTGCTCCAAAGCTCTTTGTAGTCGGGACCCTTGAGCTGTCTTCTTTGAAACTGTCCTGGAGCAAGTGCAGCAATTAAATCACTGCCGAATTAAAAGACCATCTGAGGTCTTTGTAAGGGCGGCTGCTGCTTCTCCTGGGCAGGGAGCTACACACTCCAGGGGATGGATTGGCCACCGAGAGCTGCCAAATCGTGTTTTAAGACAAAGGAGCAAAACAAACAAGCTCTGAGCCTGCCCAGATGATGTTACAAAATGCAGGCTGTGGTTTGGGGTGTGCTTCCCTGCTAGCCCCAGTGCTCCTCACTGTGTGTGCCCGTTAAAGGGGGGCTGGTGAAAACGCGTTTTAACTCTGCTTTAAAAGCCTTTCTTTAAAGCAAGCAAACAAACAGAGCACTGCCGACACCCAGGCCTGTGGATGCTGCATCTGAGCACGCAGCGATTCACACGGAACATTTCCTAGAAGAGAGCCGTCTGCGTCTCTCCCAGGCTAATAGCATCAGCTAAATCACATCCAGCACGGGCTGCCTGTAACTGGGGCAAATGCCCTCCGGCTTCCACTGACCTCTATTTCTACATGATGGGTAAAAAAAAAAAAAAAAAAGGTATTTTATGATCATTCCCTATTTGTATGTGCCATTTTACCAAGTGGGCTGGCTTCTCCGGGTGCTCCTTGCTCACCTTCTACATTTAATTTAAGAACAGGGAGAAGCTCTGCTGGGGTGGCTATAGGTGTAGAGAGACTGAATATCTACTATTCAGTCAGTAGATAAGCACCTTGTATCATTTACTAGATGCCTAACTTGCCTGAAGTAATTGGTATTGAAAGTCAAAGGGCTCTTGATATCTCTGCGGAGATAACGGGACAGCAGTGGGGACAGCAGAGGGGACAGCAGCAAGGATACCAGGCAGCACTGCTGGAAGCACCTCTAGGACATGCTGCTCATCTTCAGGGGCGTGGGCAGGACTGTTTTGTTCACTTCTTGCCCATTAAAAAGGGAGCTTTAATAAAAACTGTGATCTTGGTTAGAGGAGCCAAGTGTCCCTCAGCTGTATGTGCTGTGTGTGTGCTGTGGTAATGACTCCATGGTGCTGACTGCAAACACACCAGCAAAGCCAAAATCATACCAAAACCTTGGCTGTGTTCATGTGTGTGTCCTGTATGTCTTTGCAACGTTACAAAAGAGATTATTTTTTGTTACCTTCACATCCCCTTTTAGGGTATACTTTGGTTAAGCTTTGTGGTGCTGAACATCTGTGACATCAAACATCTGCCAGAGGCATTTTTTGCAACATTTGCAATACAAGAAATGCCTTTTCAGCAGTTTTCTACTGCAAGCATTAAAGCACTGTTATAATTAAAGCAGCAGAAAAAGCTGGAGACAGAAGTCGTCAGCTCTGAGTTATGTTAATATGAAAATACCGTTCTCTCCAAGTATCATGAATAGAAAATAATTTTACAGGCCAGTTACGTTTGCTAAGCAAGGGCAGCAGCTGCTCCTGGATACATCATGAGAAGTTTTATTGCTGTGTGTGGAAGGCACTTGAATTACTGAGTGCTTAACCTCTATGCCAGTGCATTCTTGGAAATCAGCCCAACTTGCACAGCTGGGTTTGGCAAATACTCATTTCTTGTAGTGTTTTGTTGTTTTGTGGTTTTTTCATAAAACCCTAAAAAAAAATTGTCACGGTGTGCAGAATAATGATATTGGTGATTCCTTCTGGATATCTGTAATTGGCTGATAGATGCACGTGGGCTTAGGGAAAGAAAGACCCAGGGTGACAATACTTTAAGGCTGGAAGTTTTAAAATTCCAGGGGATCCCTGGACATCTGTCCTGGGCTGTGAAGGGGTCCCATCATCAGGGGTATTGAGTTGATGAACCACATTCATTAAAGTGCTTTGTGGGCTCCGCAGCTCCTGTTTTATGTAAAGATGGGAAGATTTGGATTCAGATCCCTGCCAAAGCCACTGAGCATGAGAAGAGTTCTCACTGGGCTCAGATTAACCTCTGAAATGCCAGTAAGTGCTACAGTGGCTGTCACTGTGTATCTGGGTGTTGGCCTGAAAGCTGGCTCAAGCACCAGAGAGCATCATAAACAATCTCAAGATAGGTAATTTGAAATGTTTTGAATTATTTTTAGTGCTCTGATGGTGAACAGAGTCCAACAGGGGCCATGTTTCTTGGGCTGCTTAGGGTGCAGTAAAGTGTGTAGAGAAAAGTTTATTTATCCCCCTTGCAGCATGGGCTGTGGTTATTTTACTGAGAAACTTGCTTTTCCCCACCTGCTGTGGTGGCTGGAGATGTGGTTTAGTAGCACTTGCGCAATGAAAGCATTAGGTTGAACTTTTCCTGAATTACTGGTGTCAGAGGAGCGATGTTACTTGGTGCCTGTTACTTGTGCACAAGTTGTGCTTAAAAGGTAACTCGTCCCCTCCGGCATTCACCTACAAATGCTCGGATTTTACCTCTTCCACCTTGAATTTTTGCTCATCTAGGGCAGCGTGATGCTGGCATTTCCCTGCTGCTGCCTGGAGGTGATGCTGGTGGCCGGGCCATGTTCACCCCCAACTCCACGCAGGATAAAAAAATCCTTCAGCTCCTTTTACCTCCTGCACAGACTGTGGGTAAAACACGTGTCTCCTGCCATCTGGCTGCAGCAGCCCTTCGGGCAGGCTCTTCACTCACATGTTGTCTGTCAAATCACTGCAGAGTCGGTTGACAGACACGTGCAGGGGGTGTGGAAGGGCTGACATGCCCTCTGTGGGTGCAGTGTCCCTCAGCAGAGGGGTTTTGGGATGTTTGTGTACACTGAGGAGGTTGGACAGGGAAAAGAAATTTGCTGTTGGGATGTAAACCTGAAGCAGTGAGCGCTGCAGTTAAAAATAAGACTATGGAGTACTATTATTGTGAGCTTTCATTTTCATTCCTCTTTAGTGTAACGCTGATACTGAGCAGTTTTCTACTATTTTGGAGGCAGAAAGTATTAATCCTGTGTAAGGGACTCCTTCAGAAATGCAGTGAAAAGTGACCTCAGCATATGCAATTCAGCATCATTGAATGGGACCATGGGCTGTCAGTGGCCAAGGCAGGAGGTTTCCTCTTGGCTTGTCAAAGGCCTCCCACGACAATCTGCCAACAACAGGTTGTGCCACATCACTGCCATGATCTTCAGATTCCCTGTTTAATAAAACTCAGCTTTTTCTTGTCCCCTCTTGTCCAGGGTTGCCAAAAAGGGCTGCAACTGAGCAGGCTTCCCAGCACTAGGGAAATATATTCTGTGCAATAAGAAATGGGGAGGAAAAAGGTAATGAGGATGGATGTGCCCTAAATGATATGCCAGTTAAGTATTTACAACCAGAGCTGTGTCAGGACTGAGTTCCCTGAGATGCAATCGCAGCGCCTACAGGATTTGCATGTTTCATTAGGACACAGTAATGACACAACTTCAAAAGAGCCTACCAGAGGAAATGTTTCCACTAATGCTTCCAAACCAGAGGCTGCACCCTTTGAGCAGAGGTGCAGCAAAGCTCTAAGACCTTCACTGCTGCATTAGGCTGGGTTTCACCTGAGCTGAGATGCCCATGGGAAGCCTTGTGGGGTTCCAGGCAGCACAGCAGCCGATGGCTGGGTGTACCTCCCAGGATGCACAGGGGAATGCAGCAACCAGGCACTGTTTAGTCGACGTGAATCCTCCTACTACTGGGACAAACAGTGCAAGAAAACACTACATAAAGGGTCCTGTCCCTTCTGGTGCTGGATTTGCCACCCACCATTTTCAGGATGTAGGCACTAGGACCGGGAAACCAGAGCCACGAGGCATGGGGGGTGATGGATGTAGGAGAAGAACCCCCCTGGCAGGCAGGACCGCGGTGTCAGCCACCAAGAAAGGATCCCGCGGCGGGCGTGCAGCCTCGCCAGGCTCCGGCCGAAAGCGCCGGGGGCGAAGGCTGATGCTGATGCTCGCTCAGCGTCGCCCCTGTCCCTGTAGCCATCCCGGGAGGGACCCGCTCCTGCTGCGGTCGCCCCCGCCGCCCCGCAGCACCGCCGGAGCCAGCAGAGCAGGCACCCAGGCCTGTCATTAGGGCCGAGCATGCCCTGCCAGCCTGTTTTTATCCCCACGGTGCGGTCGTGAGGCTCTGACTCACCGCCCTAATGAGCGGGGGTGCAGGTGTGCGTTCCTGTTGTGCCTGTTGCACACCCGCCCCCTCCCTCACGGCTGCTCCACACGCTCCAGGGAGGTGCGGGTCGAGAAGCTTCCAGCGCCTCGGCCTTCCCCGCCTTGCTCCAGCTACCAAATGGAATGCAAATTCACCTACGGGCTGTCTGGGCTGCGCCGGAGCCCGACGCCTTCGTGCAGCAGCAGTGTGGGAGCGCTTGGCAGGCAGAGAGCGAGCGGCTGGGGCTGCAGCGAGCGGCGAGGGGATGCGCTGCTCCTCCCTCCCTGCGGGGATGCTCGGGAGCTCCGTAGGAGTCGGAGTACTTGCGCTTCCCACCCAGCTGCCATCTCAGCAGTCTCCCGTCACGCGGAGCTGTCACAGCACCGAGCCTTGACGCATCGGCTGCTCGGCCTCGTGTCCGCACCAGCGCGGCAAATGGTGAGAGCCGGCGTGACACGGTGTTCGAGCGTCCCTCTCCAGATTTAAACTTTCTCTCGGGGACAGTGGCAAAGTGGCGCTCAGTGTGTCCAGGCACGGCGTGTCCCCACGCTGGGACTTGGCACCACCTGAAAGGACACTGGTACCTGAAGAAGGGACCCTGCTGGGGCACCCACCTTGGTGGGGGGATGTCACCTCCCCCAGATTAAAGAAGTTTGGAAGACTGATCTCTGCGAGGTCTAAACTTAAGGACTGACAGGGTGACTGCCAGCCCGATATTTTCATCTCAGCAATCTGAATTGCAAAATGTGTTTTCCTGACGTCTCCCTCCCTTTTGTAATCCGCCTCTTTGTCAGATTTTATATAAAAAATCCCCTATTCTAAAATGCTGGGTTTGGGTATTTTTGCTGAAACCCACTTTTCAGCTGAAAGGACTTTGACCCCACAGCAGCATCCCATAATTTGGCAAAGAAAAACTGCACTCTTTGCAATTTTCTGCAAAAAGAAAGACACATGAAAGCTGTGCCTCCTAAAAAATGTTAACCTATATTGTTGCTTAAAAGACTGTGTAAAAAATAACATCCTCCAATTGGTTTGGTTTTTTAAAAAATCACATTTAATATTAAGATTTTATCTGTTTCACAAATGAAAATATTTAATTATTTTAATACCACCTAACAAGAACTAACAAGAACCGTTTCTCTGGGAAATAAAACTGCAGAGGTAAAATCATATTAAAGCAATTATTTAAATCAATCTGTTTTCTTGGAGCACTTTGTCATTTTGAGTTACTCATGTTGAAAGCTTCTAGCTGGGAGACAGGCAGTATTAGGGCTTCATTGCCCTAACACGTGAGTCTGTCAGCAGGGTCTGGCTTCCATCCATCCATCCATCCATCCATCCATCCATCCATCCATCCATCCATCCATCCATCCCAAGTGCAGACCAGGATTTCTGTGTTCTTCATGAGTTTACTCAATTTCTTACATACATTTGTGGAAAAAAAACCCCAAAACAAAAACAAAAGACAAACCAAGAAAACCCCCAAAAACCAAACCCCCAAGCAACACCACCAACAAAACCCACAACTGGATTGTCAGTTATACATAAGGACACATATGAGAAATTCCCTCGTTTATGCAGGGATTGCATCTTGGATTCAAACACTAGATTTCTGGCTGAGGGAGGGTTGGTCCTTTGAAGCGTAAGGAGCTGCCGTGACCTTCAGCCGCTGGAGATCCAGCCCTGTACATTTCTAATGCACTTTAGGTGTCCCAGGGCAGGAAAGAAAACACAGTATTTGTTTGTGCCTTCATTGTCTACCAGCAATTTCCACAAGGAACCTTTCAGTGGATACACTTGCTTTCTTCTGGGCTCATTGTTGACATAACAGAAAAGCTTTTTATCCCCCTGGAAGCCTTTCTGGGCAAGACTTATACTATTTAAACACTCTTTTCTTTGCTGCTAATATAAAAAAGCTGTGGGAGATGAAAATGTTCAAAATGACACAGCAAAGCAGGGATAGAGAACTTGTTGAATATAAAGCCAAATTGTCCCTGCTGTGAGCAGAGCACTGGAAACATCTGGGACAAAAGCAGCAGCACAGTCTGTGGGGTGAGCAGAAGAACAACTTCCACGATTCAGAGAGCAGCAAGCGATGAATTTTTTGTATTGATAAGGAGCCAGACAGCTCAAAAGCAATCTGAATGGGGCTATAAAAATGATTGGCTATCAGGAGAAGTTCTGTCCCTGAGAGGATTGCCAAGCACTGGAACAGGCTGCCCAGCAAAGTGGAGGAGTCACCATCCCTGAAGGTATTTAAAAGACATGGATGTGGCACTTGGGGACATGGCAGCCCTGGCAGTACTAGATTAATAGTGGGACTTGGGGACCTTAGAGGCCATTTCCAATCAAAATGATTCTATGATTCTGTGTTTATTCTGGTTTATTTCAGCTGTTGGTGAAGAACACAGTCTTAAATCCAGGCCACCCTTTGGTGCTCTGGCACAACCGCACAGCCACATCTTCACAGGTTTCCTGGCCCAGTACTCCTTTACAATAGTAAATTTATCATTCCTTCTCCAAAAGAATAAATGTTTTATTCATGTTCTACTCTCTAATCACAAGGAAGGAGTAGAGAGTCTTAATTAAGTCATTAGTGGCTGTTATGAGCCCATATTTTAATCTGTAAACCTGAAAGAATAAATAGTATTAATACTATTAAATATGTATTACCTCTTTCTCCCATATTTTCTGAATGTTGTGGTGTCTAAAGAAATTACATGGAAGATGTTATGCAAAAAAACCATAAATTAGGATGCGGGGTTCGTTTGAGCCATCACAGAAAGTGCTGATGCACCAAACTCGCTGCTCCCCCTCCCGAGGTGCTGTCCCTATAATGGACCCCATCAGCACCAAACTACACACCTGGGAACAGCAATCCCAAGCCTTAGGAGCAGGAATCACAAACCAGTGGCTCACAGAGAAAATCAAACCACCTGCGTGGGATCAGCAAGAGCTGTGCCATTCCATGGGCAGCGGGGTCTGACCCCTGTCAGTCTGCACAGCCTCAAACATTTTCCTCTAGCACTACTGGGCATCTAACAGGGAATTTACCCATGGGACAGCAGGATGGCTTTTCTTAGCTGCTAGAGATTTGTGATCCCTCACAAATTCCTTATAGCAGTCCCTGGGCAGCCAGGGCTCTGCAGTAGAAATGATTAGCCAGCAACCAGAAGGAAAGGTTACAGAAAGAGCAGAGGAAGAGCAAGCCTCCAAAGAATTCGGGTCTGCAACCAACTTTAAGATTTCTTTCTGCTTGTTGAACAGCTGCCTGAAAAAGCTGGACACAATGGGGCACCAGTGTGAGTTAATCCCTTCACATACAAAATCTCTCCATAGCTGCCCACTCAATCACAAGGCAAGAGAACAACAGGTACATTCAGCTTTAATGAAATAATCATCAGTTCTATGTACACCTATAACAGAGAGAAAACCAGCTACAGAGAGGATGCAAACACAACCCTGGACACAGAGCAACACTCGCAGGGCAGGGCTGGACCAAAGCATTTCTGCCATTCTCCTCCACTTCTGAAGGCGCGTTTTGCCCAAAAGGCAATACTGAAATAACACGAAATCCTCCCAAAACCGCGAAGTGGGCTGACAGAAGATGACAGCCTGGCCCCACGGGGTCTTTTTCTGTTTATTTACTAGAGCTTGGACATCCTTCTCCACAGCCAACCCCAGCAGGGCCCCACAGCAGCCCTTTGCTTGGCACCAACCTGCCACAGTGCCCGCTGTAATTCCATAAGCAACCCCCAATACCAGTATGGCTCTTGCTGGGTGCTGTGGCAGCTCCAAAGGTGCATCTAAAAGTCCTTTAAGAGTCCCTTTCAAAACTATGGCAAAACACCTGGAAGGACCAGTATGAAGTACAAAGCCATTAAAATTGTACACACTGAATTATCGATATCTGATAACTTAATAAATAAATACACAGAAAAAAAAGACACTTTTTTTTTTTAAACACCCTCTGATTTTTCTAAAGTTTTACTTTCACAGAAATGAGCCGTCGCTCTCTCTGTCGCAGTCCTCTCATAACAACGGAGATGCTTTATCAAGGTTCACACTGTGGTTGTGCACCAGGTACCAGGGACATGTACAGCCCTTGTATTTTAGCAGGAATCCAAATCCTACGCTGGGAAGGGAAATCTCAGCGCACCGCCCATGGTCAGGGAGCAAGTGCCAAGCGCGGCTGCTATTTCTGTATCGGCTGAGAAACACGCAGGAGAATTTTCTCAGAGGAACACACTGCCTTGCCCACAGCTGGACATAAATCCCAGCCATGCAGACACAATCCCAAAATATTAAAAGGCCCCTTTCTCTTGGAGGGCTTGCAGTGGGAGGCGGTGCTCGCACACGCACAAACCCCCTTGGAGCAGGGCAGTTCACGGGTTTTGACGACAGTAGGCTTGTCCAGGCATTTTCCAGCCATGTCCTCAGGCCCTCCATGTCTAGATTTTTTCCCTGAGGACTTCGGTAAGATCGCTCCAGCATTTCACTGCATGTTTCAGGCGCGCTACGTGGCGTGCCAGAGCCAGCCGGAGCCTGGTGGCAGCGAGCCGGGCATAATGCACGTTTCCCAAGGGATGCCTGGGCTGGGATGAAGGCAGGCGGGCTTTGTGGAGAGCGGGGAGCGGTGCAGGACGGCTGCCGCCAGCACCCAGGGACGCCAGCAGCGCCCAGACCAAATCAAAGCAATTCCAGTGCCGGCAGAACATCGCAGCTACCCAAACTATGCTGACTGCTAACACGCATGCAGCTCACTGCTATTTATATCACATGCCATATATATATAAAAAAATATGCTACATCTGAGGACAGCTTCACCACGACACCAGGATTGGGGGGGAGGACGGCCAGGGAGGAGAGGGGCTGCCCGCAGCAGGCACCGCTCCCGCCCAGCCCACGCCGCTGATGCCGCAGGGAATTTTTGCCCGTTGAGCTTAATGGTGCAAGAACAGGCCCTCCCCCGAAGCGTTGTCGCTTTCCTGGCGTTTGTGCAGCCCGGGGTCAGCAAGGCGAGCGGCTGATGCTGTGCTTTAACGTGTCTGGAGATGCACAGGCTGCTCGTGGCAGCGGGAGAGGCCGAATGCAGAACACAGAACACTTCTCGCTGCAGCCTGCCGGCTTCACGCGATGGGACAGCAACGGTGACCCCCGGTCCTGGCGCCCGTAGGTAGCGAATGCCTACAGTTCACAACACTAAACACTGTCCTGAGCCCTTCTGACAGTGATGTCTTCGTGTTAACACTGCAGTTGCTTTGCTTTCCCTCATCTCCAACACACCCCAGGCAAACCTCCAGCTGTTCCAGCGTGCCCCCGAATCCAGCCCAGCAGCAGGTCGGGCACTCGCTGCCTCTCAGGACCTTTATTTAAACACATGGTATATACAGATCTACAGCATGAACAGTGGGGCAACCTGGCATGGGTGCTGGCAGAAATGTGGCCTTGATATAATTATGCCAATAAATGAAAATACAGTCACTGTAACACCTTCATTTTTCTGCAGCTGCAGTCAGTGGTGTTGTCTGAGGCCCCAGGGAACACAGTGTATGTAGCAGGGTCTGCCCACGTCTCAGGATCCATTTCACATAGACACACAACTGGAGGGGCATGCAGAATTAACTACACCTCAGCCCTGGGAGCCCTCTGAGCTCTCCACACACACCCCAGGACAAATGGGGCTTTAAATCACTCCCTCTGCTCTTCCTCTTGGGGGCAAAGCTCCCCTCACAGAAAACTGTTGTGTTTATTCTGTTCCAGGGCCATTTCATTGACCAGCTGCTCTATGGATGACTGGATGGCTGCCTTCACGAGGGAGGAGGCAGTTTCTATGAGGAGCAATTCGTACTGCTCCCCAGTTCTGTGCCCCTGGTCACCCAGACTTTTGTCCTCTGCCTGGGGACCACCACCAGCCTCAGGGCCCTCTTTTTTACCAACATCAGCATTCCTGTTTGATTTTTTATTCCCTTTTTGCTTATTTTGGTGCAGAACTGGGGACGGCTCATAGGCCTGGTCGGAGTCGGTGTTGTCAGAGTCCTCAGCCTCAGTGATGGTGATGACGATGCCGACGCCAATGCCGGCGCCCGCGTTTGCCTCTGATGTCACCTGATGGCTGGAGCATTCCTGCACACTCGCTCCGTTGTCTCTGGATGTCGACTCACTGAACTCTGATACAGTCTCCTGGGCTTTGCACTCCTCAGGAAGATTTGTGCTCTTCTCTGATTCATCCCCTTCAGGCAGCTCTGTGCAGATATTAGGGATTTCCTCCTGCTCGGTGGTTTCAAGGGGACTGTCGGGTTGATCCTTGGAAACAGGTGCTTTGGGAGCTTCTCTGCCCTCTGCATCGTCTGTGGTTTGGGGTAGGCTCCCTTCCTGGAGTTTGTCCTGGGCTATTTCATTAACTGTCTCTGAATCAGTTATCTCTGACTGAACAGTGCACTCCGTATGTTCCTCCATGTCAGGTGTGTGCTCTGTCGAGGGCTCACTCTTCTCAACAGAGTTGTCATTTTCCTTTGCTATATCCTGGTCCTCCTTCACTATAGCCTGGTCCTCCTTCACTATAGCCTGCTTCTCCTTCACTGCAGCCTGGTCCTCTTTCACTGAAGCCTGGTCCTCCTTCACTGAATCATGGTCCTCCTTCACTATAGCCTGGTCCTCCTTCACTGCAGCCTGGTCCTCTTTCATGCTAGCCTGGTCCTCCTTCACTACAGCCTGGTCCTCTTTCACTGCAGCCTGGTCCTCCTTCACTGCAGCCTGGTCCTCTTTCACAGTAGTCTGGTCCTCCTTCACTGTATCATGGTCCTCCTTCACTATAGTCTGGTCCTCTTTCACTGCAGCCTGCTCCTCTTTCACTGTGTCCTGGTCCTCTTTCACTGCAGCCTGGTCCTCCTTCACTGTAGCCTGGTCCTCTTTCACTGCAGCCTGGTCCTCTTTCACTGTATCTTGGTCCTCTTTCACTGTAGCCTGGTCCTCTTTCACTGTATCTTGGTCCTCTTTCACTGTAGCCTGGTCCTCTTTCACTGTAGCCTGGTCCTCTTTCACTGCAGCTTGGTCCTCTTTCACTGTAGCCTGGTCCTCCTCTGCAGAGACTGGGCTGAAGGATTCAGATTTTTCTGCCGGGGCCAAATCCTCTGGCTCTTCACAGGCTTTGTTCAAAACACCCACCACTTCGTTTGCTTGAACGCTGCCCTCTGACTCCTCCAGTGCTTCCGAGGGTCTGGGTTTCTTCTTGCCCCTGGAGAACCGCATGCAGGGCATCTTCACGCCAGAGCTGGCCCGTTTCTTCGGGAGGTCTTGTGCACAGCTCTCCTCAGCATCCACCTCCAGCTCCACCTGCGAATCGGACTGTGCCTTCTTCCGTGAGGAGGATTTCTGCCTTCTCCGAGGCCTTGTGAGGTTTTTGATGGCTGCCCAGGCTCCTTTGGAGGACTGTGATGGACTGGAAACTTTTGCCTCCCCTTGGTCGGTGCTGACACATTGGCTTTTCTCCTCTGAGGCTCCTTCGCACGCATCCTTCACAGTCAGCCCCTTCTTACAGGGCTTCTTCCGCTTCTTAAAACAGAGCATGGAGGGTTTCTCTGCTTGTTCCTCCAGTGGGGAGCACGTTGCCCCTGTGCTGGGAGACTCTACCTCCTTTGGGTTCTCCATTTGAGCTTCCTTAGCTGCCCTCACCACATTCGCTCCTCCTTCGTCTGGGTTGTAGCAGCGATTTTCTTGATCGATGCCTCAGACACAAGAACAGCAGAGATGCTCAAAGTGCATTTTTCCCCTCGAACAGTTCTCCAAATAACGTTAGTTGCTTTGTAACGAGCGGATGTGGCAGTGAAAAGAAGTTCTGCTGGAGCGATCGCATCCGCTTTGTAACTCCCACTTCGTCTTATTACTCACTTGATCACCTCTCCAAGGAATCCTGGGCAGACGTGGTGTTGAACAGGCTTCTCCTTGGCTTTGCTGGCCACAGTCACTCTCATCTCCGGAATAAACCCACTCCACGTTGTGCTTGGTCTAACAGCAGCGACTATATAATGGCCAGTCTGACATACTTTTTTTTTTTCCCCAAAGGATGACAAATCAAGCCAAGAGTTAACAATTTTTATTCACCCCACGGACCTGGAAAGAACTTGCACTTTGTGAGCTCTCTGCAATTCCACATTGCACAAGGGAGCTTGATTGAAGCACCAGTGGAACCAGTGGCTGTTTTCTGCCCCCCAGTGACAAGGTCAGATGCTGCTTTGCCTTGGCTTTCCTTTCTGCTTCAGTTCCCCTCACAGGTTACATGAAGTTTGATGTGAAGTCTGACTGAGGCTTTCATCTTTTACCTGGAAGACAACAAACAAATGATAATACCTGTAGGGCAATTAAAAAACCCCAAACAAAACGTATTGAAAACTTTTTTTTTTTCTCTAAATATTTCATTTTTGGGAGGCAGACTGGATGCACTATAGCAGTTTATTTCCACTAATTAGCATCAATATCCAAAGGCAAAATCAGGCCACAAGATGTCAACCCAGTGATGCTCCACCACAGAAAGTACTACTTGGCTATTTTATGTGGTAAAAGGGGACTTTTTTTAATGTAACTGCCCATATTATGGTGAATACGTATTACACATGCACACATATTTTTTTTCCTAAGGTTTGCTAAATCCTTTCCTCACTGCTCCATATGCACTCATAGTTCCAGCTAGGGAAATTACACCCTGAGACAGCAGATATTTTTATCTTTAATGCACCATATGACAATATGCAAAACCAGAGAATACAAAAAGGAGGCTTGTGGAATACAAAAGCCAAATCACATGGCAAGAAGGGAGCATATTTATACTACGTGCATGCCTCCCATGGCAACCTCAATTAACACCGCGTGTGTTCATCAAAGAGGTGATGTTGTAAGATGTGTGTCACCCTTAAAAAAAAAAAAAAAAAAAAAAAAAAAAAAAAAAAAAAAAAAAAAAAAAAAAAAAAAAAAAAAAAAAAAAAAAAGAAAATAAATCAAACAAATCAAACACAAAACGAAAAAATCCCGCGCTGCCTGGAAACATTATCACAACGTTTTGGGATAGAAAGATGAAAAAATGTGTTACCACAAACAACTTCTGCAGGATGGGCTCGGGGGCTCCGGGCAGGGCTTTTCAGGAGCAGGGTGATTAAAGGGAGGCTCCGGGGCGCGCTTCCCCCGCAGCACATTTGGGGTTTTACAATTATTATTAATATTATTATTATTTTTATTTTAATTATAATCTTTCAAGGGAGAAGGAGCGGGGCTGTCGGAGCCGAGCGAGCGCGCACCCGCAGCTCCCGGAGCCCCGAGCGCAGCCCGGCTCCGCCGCCCCCGCGCCCGCGAAGTTTTGGGGGCGTTCGCGGGTGCGGAGCAGGAGCCGCCCGGCACCGCCGCTCCCCCGCCCCGGGCAAGGGGAACCCCCAAAGCCGGACCCATCCGAAGGGATGGGGACGGCGGGGGCTCCTGGGGCAGCGCCCGCAGCGGCGGCCCGGGAGCCCCACGCGTGTCGCCTCCCCCGCGGGTCCCCCCGAGGCGGTGCCGCCCCCTCGCCCCCCGCGCCCTTACCTGCATCCTGGCACATCCCGGCCCATCCCGGCTCCGGTCCGCGCGGCTGCGCTGCCGCCGCCGCCGCCTCCGCCGCAGCCGCGCCCCCCGGGCCGGCTGGGAGGGCGCTGCCGGCAGCCCCCCGCCCCCCGCCGCCAGCCCCCGGCACGCCCCCCGCCCCGGCCCCGCTCCGCCGGCACCTGCTCGCAGCCTCCTTCCTCCTAGGGGAGAGCATCTCTCCCTCTTCGCTGATCAGCATCCCTTGTTTGCGAGCATCCCTCCCCGTAGCGGGATAGCACCGCTCTTCTGGCGGCCGGCATCCTTCCCTTCTGGAAAGGCAGCATCCCTCCTTGTGAGGCAGGATCCCTCTCCCGCTGGCAGAGTAACCTTTCGTCCCCTCCCAGGCTTTGCACAGCGGCAGCAGACACGAAAACCACGAATACAACTCGAGGCAAAGGTCCTCCTAGGAATCGAGCTGTGGTTTGTAGATCCCAGTGACAGCAAGATGCACGGGAGGGGAGACGGGTGTACACCCCGCAGGGAGGAGGGACCACTGGCATTTGCCTGGCTGTGTGGGCAGGAGGGCGGGGGGTCTTGCTCTTGGCAGCTGTTCTTCAGGTACCACCTGAAATCTTCACAGCTCTTAGCACACACTGCCGGGGGTGCTGCAGGAGCTACACCTTCAGAGGTGGAGGTAAGGACAGCCAGCTCTTGGCTTTAGACTAATCCCTGCCTAAAATACCAGAGAAAGTGCCTCTTTCATATGAGCTTTCTTTCTGTCCAAAGCAGCTGAGATCTGACTTAAAAAAAAATCACGTCTCCAGCTGTTATGATTGATGGGAGAGCCTCTGGAGAAAGGACTACCAAGTGGAGCTGATGAACTACAGGAAACTATAGTCGAGATGCCTGAACGTCCCCATTCATCTCCACGGGGAGTTGACTGACGCCCACAGAGGTTTTGCAGACATTAACTGCTTCACAGCGTGTTAGCACATAAGCAACTGGGCAAAGCAGCACTTTGAACCTGCAAGTGGCTTCCAGAGTAGGCCAGGCTTAGAAAAATACACTTGGCCTCCCCCCTCTTTGGCTTCTTCATGGGAAAAAAAGGTACAAAATGGGTTTGATGGGCTGAAATGTCAGCCAGGAGGGCAGAAAAGTGCATCAAGCATCATAAGGAATTGCCTTTTTAAAAGCTCCCCTGTGAGATGTGTTTGCTCGCATTCGCTCAGGATAATAAACTTCATTTGGAAACGGCTTCTCCCCCGACGTGGGTGGTGGGTTCTAATTACAATCCACTTTGCATTAAAGCCAAGCAAGGCCCCTCAGCTTGAGGAGCTTTTCCCTCCTTGCAGTCGGAGGCAGCAGGAAGGAGGGTGGATAATGTGAGGATGGGGAATGTGTGTGCTGCCTCAGGGGTGGTGTGATGGAGGCAAGCTCCCATCAACTCCATTTGGGAACACTTTGCATGGAATTCAATTATTCCTGATGCTCCAGGGGCAGACAGTGACACTACAGGCTGTGGCCCAAGGGAAATAAATAAAAGGCTCTGCAGCAAGCCCGAGATCCGGTCAGAAAAAGGTCCTGGCCCAGCTGGAGGCAGTTTTCTTTCTGGGCCTACACTCCAGTGCTGGTGATATGCAACAAGCCAACCAAGCAACAATCTCTCCTTTTGCCCCCTGCACTACTCCAGGAAATAAATGTGTTATTTCTTACATGACGTGATGCAGGACTCTCAGTACAGCACAGCTCAGGGGACGGATGGTCATAACACCAACAAAGGGCTCTGGGCCCACAAATAGTCCACAGAGAACAAATTCGTACATAATTAGTTTTTTCTCTAGGCAACAGGAGGAGAAGACAACCTTCCAGTACTTAGTTAGAAAAAATTAAGTGTCCTCTGTGTCCCATTTGAAAGGACAAGACCTAGCTGGCATGCTTAGCTGCAAAGGAGAGAGTTAAAAAAACAACCTATTTATGTATCATCTCCGCAAGACCAAGACTAGGGAGAGGAGAGATCATATCCCAAGGGGTCGAAAGTGCAGGTTAGAACCTTACCCTCAGGAAATGCTCAGGGCTATTTTTTGGCCCTAGGGGCCGTTTTTTGGCTCTCATGCCTTGTTGCCACCAGTCCTGTTGTGCGTAGCCAACCCTCAAACAGCTCCTGCCTGATCCGGGGCTGTGCCTCACTGCAGGAGGTGGACTAGCAACCTCTTGAACCATCTCCCTCAAGCACATGGCTATGATCTCATGCTAAACTAAAATGAGGCTAATCTTAGCATAAATTTGCACTTATCCCATCTTTCATAAGCATAAAATGAAGGTGGAACACAGAGCACTTGCAGAAAAGCAGTGTAGCAGGGAAGATTAAATGTAGGAACTGACAGCAGACTTGGCAGCATCCGCTCTGGCAACCTGCTTGGAAGGGAAGGCTTGGCCGAGGAGCTGCAGGTGAAGAGGCCCCGTCACCCAGGCAGGGGCTGGGGCAGCCATGGGGGGACAACCCTTCCAACCCCCTGCAAGGGCCCTGAGTGTGCTCTGGCTGCCAGTAAAGCCTCAGCAGACCACCATCAAAAGGAAAATTTAAGGAGGCTGTGAATGCATCTCAAATGCTGTTACCACCATTTAAACTGTTCTGCCTGCTTGTGTCACAACCAGGTAATTTTTATATAATTATTGCCCCCTCTTGAACAACTGGAGAGATAGAGATCTCTCTCCATACACACACACAATATATCTGTGTACTACAGATGCTCCCCTGCGTTGGTGCACACCTACGTCCTGATCCTCCCAGTTCTCACCAAAATCAGAATGTTTTTAGATTTCAGTTCTGATACAAGCAGATGGGCCTCACAAGTTTTAATTCAGATATTCCGCAGTCAGCTGCAAGTACATCAAATTCACAGAATATTTCAGGTAGTTTATTTCCTACAGATGACATACATCATCTAGGGAGGGAAACCAGATTAAATGCACACACACCCCCTGGTGCATTGCAGGCAACTTATTACTGCAATAATCACTCCTACTTGTCAATACAAGGATTGCTGCTTGTGTGCAGTTAATCACAGAAATAAGCTCTACTTCAGTAGTCTCAGTGCATACATTAAAACCCCAAAAGTTGAAGTATTTGCCAGTTTATTTGTATTAGTTTAAAAAAAAAAATCGTTAGCAACACTGTCTTCTTGTTACAAAATGATTTTTGGCCTGTGGACAAAACCTCCTACAACTCACTTGATCACTATTCGTGTTGTCGCTCTTCACCAAAACGGTACCTTTGGAGGCAAGGCTTGTCAGTGGTGTAACTGCACTTATTGTTGAGCATAAAATGGTTCAAAAGACACGTTTGACACAAGCCACAGTTACGGGCCAGAGACCCAGTCCCTTCACATCTGATATCCAGAGGTTTCATTCCATCAGCAGTAAAATACAGTAGTCATAGCTGGGCTTTCAGGGAAATCTGACGTGGCTCAGGTGCCTGCAGGAATGATGCATAGCAGAAGCCAGGGCAAGCACTTCTGGAGAGAGATGAGGAGTGGAGGGGATTCCTCCTCGCTCCCTCTTTGAAATGACATGGGTGCAATTTCAGAGCACGGCGGTTTCCCCCACAGTGCAAGACATGGAAGAGAACTCATTCAGGATGGCAAGTGGGAAACGGCAGTGTATGAGACTCTCAAAGATAATATATGCTACAAAACCCCTATGGTTAAGACAATTAAGTCCCAAGACTGTTTCAAAGAGCTCCAGCTTTAGGATTTTTAATTATTAAAATCATGTCACTGAATCAAAAGAGGTCACTAAACCCAAGCTTCTCTATTCTGCTTCAGCTACAATTTCGAAGCGGGAGGTCTGTAGAGGAAATACGGTTTATATGCTCAGTGTGGACTAGCTTGGAATGCAGCAGTATAAAAATTATTACAGATTACACATTAGTGGTCGATTCTTCAGCACTCCTCCTTCCAGTCAGTTCTTGCTCTACATTCTCAGTCGTATCTTAAAAAACAGATCAGGGCACAAGTTCCATTTATGTGACTCATCAGGTGTTCCTCTGGGAGCTAAAAACAAAAACATATTTAATTACTATTATATACTACTGCAGGAAACTTCCAGGCTGAATTATAATCAAATGTCATTTGGAGACATATGGCATAATTTGAGATTGGCTTAACTCCATTATCTCAACATGAGACATAAAGCCCAAATACTGAAAGCCTTCAAGAAGGCACCCACCTTTGGTTCATAATTCCTTTCAGAAGAGCCCATTTACTCCTCCTGACACTGGGTCCAAGTCTATATCATAGAAACAGGGTCTTGTAGGAAGTCCTGGCATAGTGCTCATCTGGACAGGAAGAGAGAGAATGTTAAAATGGCAGCAGCATCATTTTGTGCACAAGATACTGAAGACTACGATGGCAGCAGCCGAGGCAGCTCCCTGCACATGAACAGACCAGCAGGATGGTGGTCATGGACCCTTTAGAAGCACACTGTGAGAACCAGGAACTCCTGGATGAGGAGATAGATCTGAGGTTTTTTCCTTTCTATGATGAGCATTCAGTTTGGTTTCTGCAGCTGCCAGTGACTGAGCCCAAGATTTGGCAAAGTACTTGGATAACCAGCTGACCAGGTCACTGCTGGAGGAGTGTTCATGGATTTTGCTGTAGTGAGATAATTACCTGTGGCAGTTTTCTGGGTACTAAAGTGAGGATACATGTTTTAATACAACTTTGCCGACTGTAAAGTCCGAGTTGATTACAACTCTTAAAGAGTCTAGAACTAGAAGTATTATATAATTAGGAATAATTACTGTTGAGAGTTTAATCAATTTGGGGGTTGTTTTTTCTAAAGTGGGATAAAGCTTAGGAAGAGATGAAGAGGTCCATCCTCCTGACTGGAACATTTTCAGGAGGGCTGTGCAATGGCAGAGCTCACAGAACAGCTGCCAGCACCAGGCCTGCCCCAGGCCAGTCCTCTCCGCTTGTCCCACTGCCGAGCACCCACTTTCAGGGATGCAGAATGAAAAGCTGGCAGGAACTACACTTG